GTCGCCTTTCACTCGACAGTACCTCGCGCCATTGTGCAGCCGCGGTTGCTGCTTGCGCAACGATATTTTAGCTCTAGCGTATTGCACAAAATGTACGCGCTCGAACGCACGAGCGCGGCTCGTCATCGGCGCTACGCTCTCGTGTCGCAGCTGTCGCTCGATTGTCTTCTTCCGGCACGTCGCTGAGATGCCCGCCCGGCGCGCGAACGGCCGAGTGAATCGTTGCGCAGTACCACGCGCCAGGAGTGACAATTTATCAAAGGAGAGGAAGGTTTACCTCTCGTATAAAACACCGCGTGCCGCCCGCTATCGAAGATAGCGCGCGCTCGGTTTATCGCTCGCGTATCGCGAAGCAGCCGAGACAAAGGGATATCTACGCTCGACCCGGGGAATTTATCAGAATTCATCGCACGCACCGGCGATATCGTTAAAATTTTACAGCCGGCATGACACACGCGGCGTGAATCACGCACGGTGCGCGCCTCGCGCTCATCCGTCGTGAAACTTGGTCTACCGCCCTCGCGCGATAACTGAATCTTCTGTCTACCTACGCGAAATGTCGTTCCGCTCCATAACTCAGCCCGGTAGAGCCCGCGATCCCGAACACCGCGGACCCAGGTGCGCGAGAGTCAAGTGCCCTTCCTCCCCCGTACCCCTATATACATTTCCCGATGCACCGCAAGCCGTTTTTGCCGCGCAAGTCGGCCGAAATTTAAACCGCGCTGCGGCGCATCGCCATCTAAATTTCGCCCTTGCAGTTGCAGCACTTTATTGTAACAGGAATATATTATGCGATATTTCTCGCGCGATCGTATTTCTCGCGCGTTTTGTGTATTATTCAAAAGAGAGCGAGCCGCGCTCTTAACCACTCTCCTCTTTAAACCGCCCTTCGCTACGAGGGCGGTCGGCGCTTTTAACAACTCGAGCTCGCGCTGAAAGCAACACGGTTCACCTTTCTTCACCGTTCGCGGCGCGTGACGAGTTACTCGCTTAGCATCGGTATACTCGATAATTATTACACTTCGATCTTCCAGTCGCTTTGCATTTCAGGCGGATGGAATTTGCCTCTCGTTACTCTCGATTCGCCGGGTTGCGCAAGTCGCTATCGTGTACCATTGCGACAGACGAAATATCGTGTGCTCTACTCTGGACACATGTAAGACTTAACCGACATGTAAGATCATTAATCGACGTCACGCTCGTACATCGCGGTTCCTCTCGATAATGGCGGATCGAACGGCTGGTGCGCGCACCGCGCTGTCTGTAATCTATAGATACAAAATCGGCCCGAAATAGGTCGCAACCGATTGCCCAGGCACAAAGAGATATGTACGCGTCTAAAGAATGTGTCGCAACCGACGTAGCGATCGTAGCGTTTCGAATTATCGATATACACGACGCCGCGATATCGATAGACGTTGTATATTTCTCGATTGATATACTCTCTAAAATTTGTGGAGTGAAAATACTGCCACGGAGTGAAATGTTCACCCTATTGGCGTGAATATTTCCTCCAACAGAGTGAATATTAACCACAAATTTTAGAGCGTACAACTTATTCTTTAAGCTTATTCTTTTAACATTGCACAATATGTAAATTTTGTGTATGTTACAATATGTATAGAGGGGGGGGGGGGCGGTATGCTGCTAACTTTTGCAGGATGGAATTGCCCCTCGAAAATATTGAGGGATTATTTGGAACATTTTTTCGTACAACGCTTATTTTTCCAGATATTCCGCAGTCTCGAGTTAAAAAAATTCATCCTGTATATTGCATCACAAGTGCATACTGAATCGAGAAACGTCAAGTGGCTCCAAAGAGAATTAAACGCTCGGTTGGGGAATATTTTCCATTTTCGATCAGTGCTTTTATATTTATTGTCGCGCACACATACACGCGCGCACGTATATGCCAAGTAATAACGGTTAGATAGTTCTTTTCTTGGCGATCGCATCGCGGGCGGTGCCATGAAATCGATAACGCACACCTGGAGAAAGAGAATCGAGCGCGAATCGTATTGCGGCTGGAAGTACCGGGACGGCTCTTATTTCACGAGACACGTATACCGGGTCTCCCGTGTAAGATTGCCGGTGTTAACCCGCCTCTCTCGGGCACAAATCATCGGTTCTCAGCCGCGAGTCGCAAAACTCGAAGACGATTCCGATTTCGCCGCGCGAAGGAGCGCGCCGATCGATCACAAGCGGATCTCCATCCATATTTATCTTCAGCGGGCGCGCTAAAAGCTCCTTCGACGGGACGATAGTATCCCCCATTAATAATACATCGAGACAATAAATCCTAGAGCTCTAAAGGATCGCCGGGGTTAGTCTGTCCCTCGACGCGAAAATCCCGCTCCGTTGTGCATTTCCCGTGTGGACCGGCGGTAGCCGAACCGATTCCGTTGCCCCCATTGTCGCGTATTTATTCATTTCCGGAACGTCCGGCTGTCGATAAATCTCAATTTAAAGGACACGGACGCGCGATACGTATTTGTCATTTTAATTAGAAGTGACGTGCGTTTTTTAATGGCGCAATGGGATTAATTACGAAACATCGATACGCAGGTATGTACACCGGGAATTTTCATCTTGCCGTCGGCTGTGTATCGAATATTGCAGTATAATATTTTCGCTCGTATTGGCTGCTCCTCGTTGCGCACCTGTTGCTCATTACACGCAGTATAGTTTAAATTTTTTACCGCAAGTCTGTTGATTTTAATTCCCCTTAATAAGTCAGTCTTTATTGTACACCGACGTACTTGATACACGTATTATCGACTCGACGATCCCGTCCAGAGGATGCTGGAGTGATTCTACACCCTTTGCACCTTTTGCATCTAGAACTGTCGATTCGTGAATACATTTGTGGAATATACAAATTATGTGGCTTTTGTGTACAGACCGACAGTGTTCTCACTAAACGGACTAAATCAGAGAACAGCATGGCATTGTTGAAATTAAATTTAGAAGCCTAACTAAAATCTATTCGCTCGAATAAGTCCTAGGTTACCTACGAACATAGATTACAAGTGAATAGATTTTTTTGTTAGGTTTATAAACTTTATCTCAACGATACCATGCTGTTCTCTGATTTAGTCCGATTAGTGGAACACTGTCGGTCTGCACACGGAAGCCACAATAATTTGTATATTACACAAATGTCTTCACGAATCGACAGTTCTAGGAGCAAGAGGTGCATAAAGTGCAGAATCACTCCAGCATATTCTTAAGAGCAAACCATCGGCGTACGTAAAAGCAATCTGCGGCGATTAGCGTCGCTCGCGTTTGTCGTTCGAGAACCGATCGGCGAACGGGCGATACCGAAATAAACCGTGTCTGACTGCAGCCTGGCCCTGAACGCTACTCAGGCATGATATCTGAACAATGGGACAGACGTCGCCATTGACGTGACTTCCTGTTGTGACTTACGGAGCCCGCTGCTCTTTAATCCACGGTAGCTGATTTCGCTCCACTTCTGGCAGCTTCAGAGTAATCCCTTTAACCGCAGCCCGCAGATCCGAAAACAACAGCGGATGTTCAAAGTGCGGGTTTAACGGGCCAACCTCAGCGATTATTATTATCATCGTATTTCTGCAATGAATAATTAAAATTGAAATTAGACTGGTAAATTAATTAACAAAATAGAAAGAGATCTACCTGTGTTGACTTTACTGCAAAGAGAGAAAGAGAGATCGAGGGAGAAAGGGAGAGAGAGAGAGAGAGAGAGAGAGAGAGAGAGAGAGAGAGAGAATTTACAATAGCCCATACAATTATTCTCGAATGAAACGAAAATGTGCAATATATGAACTTGTACTTTATATATTTTCTGAGCGCATTACGTAATGAGCCTTAATTAAATTTTAATAAGTCTATAAAACACGAAGGATAAGATCTGCGTTAAACGGTCCAATAATGCCTGCAATTTATTCGGCTTCTACGTTTCACGTATTAATGTCGGAAATGAAATTTTCTTTTGATAAGGGCTACCGCGATGAAAGAACGTAATTACATTAAATTTGCCGTAATTGCACGTAAATGAGAAATGCCCGCTGCCATTGCTCCGGTTATTAAATGGCGTTACACCACCGCGTTTGAGGCTGTTGGCGGAGGATAGAAAGCGAAGGAGTAGACCGCGCAAATTAAAGGAAAGTATATGGATTCGCGTCATTACGCGCTCCATAAACGTCGCGTCCGAGCGCACATATTATAATTAACAATTGCATTCGCGCATATTGCAGTATATTTCGCGATCTCCTCGCGACGATGTCTCGCGCGCACTTGAAATCCTCACCGCCGTTCTCTACGCGTCACCGCGATATTATTGCTTCTGCTTAAAATACACCGGGGAGCGTGTGCGTATACGCACATCGTGTCGTAATTTCACCGGCCACTTTCTTTCCGCGATCCGTGTACATCACACGTAATAATTACCGCCGCGATATGATGCCGGTAACAAGCTGCGTATTACGATTGCGGGGAACAATGAGAAATAATGCGTGCCCGCGCCGGAGAGAAAGTCGGCAGATTAATATTTATTACACTTCGCGGTCGCGGATAATCGATAGCCATAACCCGAATGAGTCATCAAGTGTTGACCCTAATTGGGAAATTAAAAATAAGTTTTCATAATTATCTCTCGGGAATATTCATACGCGTCGTATGATATTTCCATGTTGACAGATAACAATTAAAATATTAGAAATGCCAAGGGAATATAAATTTTAATTGGCGCACTTTGATGATATCGTTGAGACAATGAAAGCGTTTTTTTCCCTAACAAAATATATCCAAATAATTAAATTTGCAATGAGTAACGCCATCTAAACACATGTTCTAATGTAATCGCTAAAATCTTAGCTAAAACAATTGACGAAAGTCAGTCGCTATTGAACTGCCGAAGGTGACAGAAGTGTATAGACATTCGGCCAGAGAACATTTAGACTGTACAAGTGTCTCGCAGTGTGACCGCTCCGGTATCGGATTTACTTAAATACATTATTAATTCCAATAGTATTTCAATCTATTAAATTATTGTCATCCTGATTTTTCCAAATCCGCAATCACGAAAGTATTTACTACAAATTACATAATACTTTATTGGATGGCGCTTATACTTGGCATCTTTTTTACCCTTTTTTTAGAAAGTTTTTTTTAAGGTATTAGAAACGCGAAAGGAATTGATTGTTTTAATGTCGGTATCCGAGCAATTGTCTTTACATCAGTGAAATTCTGAACCACCTGTTATCTTCCGATCAGAATTTTCCTTTTTCCCCTAGTCCGTAGACTGTCGCGTACAGTTGTTTTAGAATAGAAAGTAGAAAGTGGAAACAAAACGCGTACAAAACGGTACAAAATACCACATGTGTCATAGCTTGATATTGTAGATCCTTCGTCAAATTGCTGTTCCATCATGTAATAATTCTTTGTAAAAATTGAGACTCTTGAAGGGATCCTACGGCAAAGGGAAAGAATCGTGACGAGGGGTGTTCCGGTCCTTTCAAATTTTCACGAAACATTCATGGTAGAAAGTGTTGAAATATTTTCGAAAACGGTATCGAAATTGCCGCGTGGCCTTGGTGTTGTCAGCGAACGTTGAACGCTTCGCTTACGAGGTCGCCGTGCGGAGCAAAGTCACCGACAGGCAGTTGAGATCCGCGCGTCGTAGCGTTCGGATCGCCCTTCACATACGTAATTTCCTCTCGCGCAATCAACTAACTTTTAGCGATCGGCACGAATATCGAAGCGATTAACATTTGGTCAAGCAGGATACGTATTTCGCGCCGTCTGTTCGCCCGTGGGACACCAATTCGCGTGAAGCCCACTCGAACGTGTCGTCAGAGAAAGAAATGTCTAATTACTAACCACTTTATAATCCCTTAACCGTTGGAAAATATTTTAACACTTTCTACCATGAATTTTTCATGCAAATTTGAAAGAATTGGAACACCCTCGCGTTGGAATCTCATTAAAAGAACGAGATCATTTCGTTGCAATTAAGATACCGAGGCAAATCGCTAACGCGCTGAATACGGATCGCACCACGTCCACCGGGTATACTTTTCTCTCTCCTCGCGGTGCCCACTCCGGTGCCCCTACTCCGATCGCCCACGGTGTCCCACGGCGAGCCAGTCTCTCCCGCGCCTTTCTTCGTGCGGCCTGCGATCCGCGTGTCAGTTCGAAGGCAGCCGCGGACAATAACTGACAACCGGCCGATCCTCGGTTACCTCGCGACGTATTCGGTTATCCGTGGTGCATCCGCGACACGGCCGCGAGAGCCGGGGAACGGGAATGTGACGATCGTAAGCGCGTGTGAGTGTATCTGGTGATCCGCTCCAAAGTACCGAAGGCGCGTGGCCTTCCGATATCAGTGATCGATAGTCGCGTGGGCGTGCGCAACGATCGGTAATTGCTTGTGTCTGTTAAATATTTGCGCGACTTAGATATCGCGCAGGCAAGACTCGAGAAGGAGTCGACGGTTCGCTGCTCGATCAGCGACCTTATCGGTCGTTGAATCCAGGCTTCAACATTTATCTTAAGACTCTGATCTTAACGCGATTGAAATAATAGCGCAGTTACTGCTTGCAATACGTTTAGTGGATCGTTGCAAAGAACAGGCTTCCAAAATATTCATATAAGTTTAGAAATATCTTTTCGACACCGATAGGGATTATTAAGCCGCGCGATAACCACGACGGGTGCAGCCGCAACGTAAATTCGTTATTTAACGGTGCCGAAGTAATCGCGAAATACGGGGATAAATGCCATTCTCGCCGTTCGCCGACGGAACGAGGGGCCCTCGATCACGATCGGTTCCGGGAATGGCGAACGCCGGCTGTTATCGCGCGAAAACGCAATATAGCGGAGGAAGCGTTGAAAAACGAGAATGAATATCCGGTTGATAAACGCGTATCACACCGGCGTACGAGGAGTGTCTGTCGGAAATCTATAGCACGCGCTATCGGGACATACATTTGTTCGTACGGCACCGCGTTCGATTATCCCGGCGCGAGGCGATAGCACCGCGGACAATTTGTTAATTTACCGCCGGCAGTTTCGGCGTAATGCGACACGTGTTAGATGACGAGCCGTTGATCCGTCCGTAAGGCCCGAATTCACCCGATCGAGTGCGCGAGGTCAATTCGTAATTAATCTGAACGCTCGCGTTTTCGCAGATGAAAAATTCTACTCGGAATTTTAATCGATTCTAAACGGACTCGGGTTACCTCCGAGAGATTTCGAAACTTGACGTTGGAGATTTTAATATCGAGAGATAAGACAATGGAAGAGACCCGAGGCTGCCAAGTTCTACACGGGAATGACGAGTCGTATGCTGCATCGTATGTTTGCGCGAGGTCAATTCGTAATTAATCTAAACGCTCGCGTTTTCGCAGATGAAAAACTCTACTCGGAACTTTAATCGATTCTAAACGGACTTGGGTTATTTCCGAGAGATTTCGAAACTTGACGTTGGAGATTTTAATGTCGAGAGGCAAGAAAATGGAGTTTTACGCGGGAATGACGAGTCGTATGCTGCATCGTATGTTTGCGCGAGGTCAATTCGTAATTAATCTAAACGCTCGCGTTTTCGCAGATGAAAAATTCTACTCGGAATTTTAATCGATTCTATTCTAAACGGACTCGGGTTACCTCTGAGAGATTTTGAAACTTGACGTTGGGGATTTTAATGTCGAGAGGTAAGAAAATGGAAGAGTTTTACGCGGGAATGACGAGTCGTATGCTACATCGTATGTTTGCGCGAGGTCAATTCGCAATTAATCTGAACGCTCGCGTTTTCGCAGATGAAAAATTCTACTCGGAATTTTAATCGATTCTAAACGGACTCGGGATTACTTCCGAGAGATTTCGAAACTTGACGTTGGAGATTTTAATATCGAGAGGTAAAACAATGGAAGAGACCCGAGGCTGTCAAGTTCTACACGGGAATGACGAGTCGTATGCTGCATCGTATGTTTTGCGCGAGTTCAATTCGCAATTAATCTGAACGCTCGCGTTTTCGCAGATGAAAAATTCTACTCTCGGAATTTTAATCGATTCTAAACGGACTCGGGTTACCTCTGAGAGATTTTGAAACTTGACGTTGGGGATTTTAATGTCGAGAGGTAAGAAAATGGAGGAGTTCTACGCGGGAATGACGAGTCGTATGCTGCATGTTTGCGCCGCGTGATAATTAATCCAAGGGAACGACACTCCGCGCGTGCATGTGTGTGGTTCCACTTGTGTCTTGTATGATTAAATAGGTATGGCCCGGTGTGGTCGAGTAGACGCTTATTTGAGTATATCGTGAACATTTATTTGCCGTTATCACTCCGGCTAATATATCTTACGGCGACTCCTACGAGACCGACGATCGTTTGTTTTCCGCCCATACGGACGTACGCGCGGCGGAATCGCGACTGGCAAATTGCGGCTCCGCCGCGTGCGCGGAATGAAACGGAACAATCGGCGAATAAAATAACTGAAAAGAAGTGATGAAGTTGAGCGAAATGGGAGCGAGCGTTTTCGGCCTTCTTTTACTTTTCGACTTTTATTTCCTGTACGAAATCTCTTGAAGCGCGTGCGCGATTTATCCGTCAACCAGGACATTCGTGCGGCTAAGTAAGGTAGTGTGTTTTCGGGCACGGTAGGTTAATTCTCTCTGCGGCGATGGCTGAGCTATGTAGAGCATAAAACGGCCGATTCGCCTCGTCCGTGTCGAGGGCTAAGGAGAGAGAAGGAGAGAGGGCTGCTCGAAATAATTATCCCTTCTCGGGAGGTGGGTACGGTTCTCTCTGCGATTCCGTTGTTGAGGATAATCCGCGAGAGAAGCCCGCGATGCAGATATCTGGGGGGTAAACTAGCGACGATCTCCTCGTGAAAATTACCCGAATTCGTGGTATTTCGCGGAAGTGTCCCGGGCGCTTCTTTAAAATTCATTCGCCATTCGTTCCAAATAATTGCTCGCTCCACTTGAAACGTATAAAATGTAGAAGTGCTCCTCTAAACGTTAGTCGCCGCCTTTTCTCGAATTTCCATTCAGCTGGAAGTGGCTCGCGTTTTATTAAATCTCTCGTTTTTGCGCGAAATTTTCACGACTTTCCCTCACAATGCTTTATTCTTGCCCGCAACGCGCGCGATTCTTCTCCGTGCGAGGAGAACCCGCGAAAGGACGTCGCTTTGTCTCCGCGTCATAAAAACGTGAGACGTGCATAGCAGTGGCGACAACACGGCCGCGGCTGTCGCGTAGCAATTCATTCGCGAGAGTCCTCGTACAAAGGAAGCGAATCTTGAGGGTCGGCCCCGTGGAAATGAGTGAAAGTGGCCATTACTTAACTGGCACGCTCGCTCTGCGGCGGAAAAGCGTTTTCTTGCCGCCAATTAGTCGGAAAACATCCAGCAACGCTGTAGCCGTCGTCACGTTTTGTTCCAGCTAATTACCGATAATGGGGGCATTTTCTTAATCACGGCTTTGCGGTGAACGAAGTCGAGAAATCGAATCCTTGACGATTCGTCGCTGTCAACTTACCGATACGAATAAAACTATTCCCGCGACGTTCTTTCGCGAGAATCCCGCGATGGATCGCCCCGCACATAAATTTCAGTAAGAAATTAAACTGTCTCGCGTGTTATCGTCTCCCCGCGAGCGTTGCCAGCGAAACGCTTAATCGATCCGTTCGCTGTCTCTCGGGAATTAGAGAAACAGGTTCCACCTGACCGATCTCTGCGTTTCTAATTAAAACACCCGCGGCCGCTCGCCGAAAAAATTTTTTTTTTCTAATCGCCGCGACGCGGGCGAAGTGCGTATCCATCTCGCTTTATAATCCACCCTGCTGAAACGGGTTAGTCGCCAGGAAGAACCGATGCATTTTAGCGGCGATTGGTCGCGCGTCTCGCCGATCGCTGCTACTTTGCGTAACGCCTTTCACGCATCGAAAATCCGACCACCTGTCACTCGTTAATTGCGATTAACCTGAGACACTACATGCACCTGTCACGCATATCGTAACACATCGTACGTAATGTGCGTGTGTTACGCGTGCGCCGTTGCATTTTTAAACGTTCGTTACGTTACGTAGAGACTCGTACGTTATCGAACGGTTGTGTCTGACGACTTTTACACGCGGTTTTCGCTAAAGATGCAATTTCATAACGTACGTATCCCCGCACAGAGCTTCCCTGTACTCCGCGCGCGCGTGCAATTAAGAGAAACGTAAAGGCCGGTCTATAATACATGGAGTAAGCTGGAGTAAGGAGTAGGGGTAAGGAAATAAATCCATTTTATTTCTTACTCCTATTTCAGCTCTTAGGCTTACTCTCGGTGAATCAAAATGCCATCAATCAGTGTTGCAAATATTTTAAAAATTATGCCCGTATTTCAGCTTCCTTACACCAAAGGCTGCAAGTTAAGGCTGGTCTACAATACATGGAGTAAGCTGGAGTAAGCTGGAGTAAGGAGTAGGAGTAAGGAAATAAATCCATTTTATTTCTTACTCCTACTTCAGCTCTTAGGCTTACTCCCATCAATCATGGCATTTTGATTCACCAGAGTAAGCCTAAGAGCTGAAG